CCCTCCCTCCCTCCCTCCCTCCCTCTCTTTCTATCTCTTTCTCTCTTGAAAAGCCCAACTCCTGCTCAATTCCCACATCTCCTTAGTTTAGTTTTGGATTTACAAACAACATTGCAGCTCTCACAGAGAACTATGAGTTGGCAGCACTGAACCAAAGCACCCCGTTTGACTTCTCAGGAAGCATACGGAGATGTGCCTGTAGAGCAGGAAGTGAGCTCTCTGGATGGATGGAAGCATGGGGAAAGGCAAAGGAGATTCACTCCAGGTCCTATCAGGATGAGCAGAACTATCACAAAGTTCCTGCCATCACCATCTTCTGTATACCACAGGTCCCATTCCAGGCAATATGTGCCTATTCCAGGCACCAGGAACAACCATACTCCCTTGCCACATCTATAATGATCCTTCCCAATGAAGGWCTGAATATAATGACCACGGCAGTGTGCAAGGCAGATGCCATCTAGGAATATAAAGAAAGCTTTTCTCCTAAGTCTTGTCAGCCTCCTGCTTTTCATTCCCAAATTCTTGTGAAGTAAAAACACGGAAAGTAGGAGCTGTTTGAGCAAAATACTACCTGGCCCTTCCATGCTTTCTTCACAGGAAAGCCACATGCCCGTGTGGAAGTATCTGAAGGCAAAGCGGTCATCCCCCGTCTCCCAGCCGTAGTGAACCACGTCCTGGGATGAAGAATTGCTAGCCCCGGCATCAGGCGACACGTGGACGCCAATACACTTGGTGTCTTTATTGGTCCCACACAAAGGCTTGGGCACCTTCTGAGTCCCGGTACACCAGTAGCTGCCAAGTAAGGCAGTAGTGGAAAGGCTGAGAGCCAGCAGGTTCAGCGTGACTGCCAGGAAAGGACGACGCCAAAGCAACCCCTTCAGCAGCTCCATCTGCAACAAACAAACAGGAGAGACTTTCACACCAGCCGCGAGTGCTGAGTCCCAGTGCTTCCCGGTGGGCACCTGTGGGGAGGGCATATGTGACGGAGAAATCTTCTCCCCTTTCCCAACTCTCTAGCATCTTATCCTGCAAGGAAAATCCATTTTCTGAAAGCCAGGATTATGGAAAAGTAGCTCAGCTTCAGCTACTTCAAAATACATTGAACACCTGTACAGAAGAAAAGGTTGAGCAGTTACCCCTCATACCTCTAGGGCTGAGTGYGCTGGTGTATGTGAGCATATGAGCAGCATTAAAGTCACAACCACATTCACTCTGTCTCAGAGATGGCACAGAAAAGATGTTAATCAACCTCCCTAAAACACCATGCATTGTCATTAGGTGGGCACAAATACTTTGCCAACTATTTGAGATTTCTTATTATCAGGTGTCCCAAAACAGTTTTCCAGCACAGGTGGAGAGGCTGGTGGTGTATTGATTTCCTAGTGGAAAAAGCAAGTCAGCAATCATTCCAGGACTTCTGAAGATTCCACCTCAAACTAGCGACCTGGTCAAGAGGGGCAACCAACCAACCTAGACCTGTCAGCTTGAGTTCAAACCACAAAGCAGCACCTCTCATCTGAGCAAGTTCTGCACTGCACATTAGCAATTTTGCAGTGTCGTCAGATGACAGTGTCTGTGTTCTCACACAAAGCGTCTAGGGGATTTTTTAAGTGCAAACATTCTCAAAGAGAGTCTTTCCAGTTTCATCTCATCTAAGAAAGTAATTCTAAAAGCAATTTCTGTACTAAGTTCTCGTGGCCTTTTTCACTCAAAGGGAAGCTTAAAATTTTAAGGTTCCTGCAAAACCCTGCACTGACTTCTGAGAACCCTCTTATCACTCCATAGATTGATTAGATGTCATCTTCCCACACATCAACTTTCATATTATCAACGCAAGCTTCTTCCCACATGGCACTCGCTATGTTTGGCACAATTTCATCCAGATACACCCACCCTTTCCTATTTATGACTCTCAAAATCTACTTGGCCATGAATAGATTCAGTTTGCACATACGCTGCAGGCTGTTGGTCCCTCGACATAACTCCTGTTGACTCACCCGACGTTGAAAGTGTGAGAAAGGCCCAGCATAATGTGGACACTGCTATAAATAAATGATACTAGACTGAACATGGCATTGTTTGAAGCAAGCTAAGAGGATACAGAAAAAAAGTGATGTAGTTTAGAAGCATTTGCTCTGTTAAGCATCAAGCTCAGAAATATGATCAACAAAGATTGTGCAGAAGCTCCTCTTGGGGAACAGGATTTGATTAGCATCTCATTACATTAAAAAAAAAAAAAAAAAAAGGTGCCTGATCCAGAACAATCTGAGCAGAGGCAAGAAAACAGTCCGCTCCTGAAGATGCCCTAAATTCTCTAGTGTTCTGGCTTCATTTGTCTCTTCTTCAGAGTATTTCTTTTTCTCAGCATTGCTCTCATAGCAGGACACTGGAGATGGTAGTCTTAATGCTACCACAGCTAATGAGTTCCACAATTTRAAAGCAGGACACTACAATCTCCGTAAAGCAAATATTTCTTAGGAACACACTGTTACGTAAAGGATCCTGAGAAAGCTAGGTGGCAAATCCTTCATTAACACTTTTTCAAGGGGAAAATCAGGCTTACAACTAAAAAGGCCATTATGTATAAAATTGCTTTTCTTCAAAAAGTTAGTCTTTTTGGCTCAAAATAGAAACCCTCTGCATACATTTTTTTTCTTCTTTTTCATCAATACTGGATTGTAAGATTTTCTGCCAAATGTTTTGTGTAACTCATATTTTTATTTCAAAAAAYGCTTCCACCCATAGTATTGTCATAATTCATTTCTTTGTTTTAAATTTTCAGTAATGGAAARAAGTATTCTCTCTAATTGATTTGTGATACCAGTTCAAAATGGACATCATTTCAGAAAAAAAATATGAAGAAGGCAAAAAAACAAAGAAACAAAAAGAAGAAAGAATTGGATCCAAAATAAAGAGGAAAAGGGGAATGGAAAGTAAATCTGAACTATGACATCATGAGAACATTTTCAGAAAAGTTTCCCTGMATAAAAACAAGGTACATACTGACAATAACTGAACCGCCAGTATTAATGTAGGAAGCCCCTTTCCCCCAACAAAAAAATAATTACCTTGCCAGGTGCTCAGGTCCTTGAAGTCTTGTTAATTTAGGCGAGTAATGCAGAAACTGGATTCAGACTTTGCCTTCTCTCTATTTCATTCATCTCTTCCAAGAAACCAAATTGCTTCAAAACTCCTTTCTTGTCTCCTCCCTTCCTCCCCTGCCCACCCCCAACCCAATGATTATTAAATGCTATCCTTCTAGCAGCTGTTTTGTGGAAAATGGTCATTTTATAATCCACAATGCAATCACAGCACAGCTGTTCTGGGAGATTATATAGGAAGAGATTGGTGCTGTGGACTGGGATTAAGAGTAAAACAGTGGCCTGTATTCACGGAGCAAAAAGTTCCAATACAGSACAAAAAGATCCCAGCCATGGCTCCATGCAATGGCTGTTTGGAAGATTGCAGGGAGTGAGTGGCTCTCTGACCAATACTTGAGAGGACAACAGACCTTAGCTCATAAGATACCGATRCCCTTGGCATCAGTTAACCTCCAGCCCTATGATATCTTCTTGGACATGGAAAGCAGAGAGGAAAAATAGGGAGAGGGAAGTTTATGCAACTGAATCTGCTCTGAGAACTGAAGATTTGATACTCTTCCCATCAGTGCTAGAGATATTAATGAAAAAAAAAAGAAAAAGGAAAACCTTAGTGGAACCACTGCCAAGTGGTGGACCGTGATCAAGGCATTACCACAATGCTAGAAGTGTCTGAAATAGCAATGAGTCAAAGAAGACCAATACTCAAGGGATGAGAGCACAGGGTCAACTTTTTAGTGTTCCTCGTAATGATAGCTTTTATCAAGGCATGAAGTTCACCRGGAATCCCAGCTCCAGCAGGATCACATCAGATGAATTTCGGAAGCTAGTAAGGAAAGACAGAAAAAAATCACACTCACAAGTCCCCTCTGTTCTTTGGTCCTAAAGGTTTAAAGATCCCACAATACTTATATCTTGTTTGGCATCAGAACAGGGTAATATGGACAGTATCACCTCTCTCAAGGAAGAACTTGGCAGACAGTCTCTAGAGCGACTAAATCAAACTGCAAGGTGGAGAGGCAGCCTGAAGGTACCTGTCTCACTTTGCACACTGAGATCCCCTTAGCTTTGCTCAGTGCCATGCAGATGAAGCTCCTACTACTCGTTGGAATAACCAGCATTTATACCATGCTGTTCTACAGCAGGTAACAGAGGGAAATAGCGGTCTGTATACTCTCATCTCCTAGACCTGACATGAGAGCAGAGGGATTGGGAGTCACGTATAGCAATAGCTCTAGTGACAGCGTAGCCTGCACCAGGCTCACAGAGCTGACATGGGCAGTGCTATCATAGACTCCTGACCCCTTTTGCCCTCACGCAGCGTGGTTGATAGCTGTGTGGTTACTTTAATCCTGGTCACTACATAAGCTCCTCTAACGTAGACAGATAATCATTTGTAAAACAGGCTAACTGGAAGCACTGCTGAATGTGTGTGTGCTGTATAAACTGATTGCAAGGTTTTTTTGATCAGAAAAAGGCTCTGTTTGACAGAGACATACTTTACAGATGACATTGTTTAAAAGAGAGAGTTGCAATTTTTTTCATTGGTCAGTATTTCCACACCTGAGCACCTTAAGCTTGGCTCAATAAACATACCCAGTATTTCAGGCTCAAGAAGGGATAAAGTCTATTTTATTTCTGATAATCCTGAATGAAAGACTGTATTTTAACATTTTCTATTTTAAACATATTGAGAGGTCCATTAAGATCCAGAATAGTAGGTTTCTAAAGCTAGGGTCATATGAATGCATATTGATGAAATGAGAGACTCATTTTAGATATCTAGAAATAGGAATACACATTTAAAAATAATTTCTACCTGAAATGTGTTAAGGTTTCAAAAAACATATGTCAGATTCAGTATTCTGAACAATGGCAGATATTTATCCTTCCAGAAGATGGCAATCTTTCTCTAATCTTCTCTTTAGGAGTCTCCACTGCTCACAGGTATACTGGGAGAAACCAACACCCAAGTTTAGGTTTCTATTCCATTTTTTGTTTTGCTCAGTCTTCCTCTTTTTTTTTCCTCTATTACTATGAACACTCTCTTTCCCTCACCTGAGAGAGTTCTTCTTTTTGAGTTATTTGAGCCCTAGAGACTTTTGAAACGACTGAGGAAGAAAAAAAGAGGAATGAATGGAGAAACTTAGTAGGTCATTTGTTCCACCTTCTGCCCTGTACAGAGCTGAGCTTTCTAATATATTTTCCAGCATTTTGTCATGAACTATACTAACTTTCTCAAGCCACAGCATTCCATCCACACATTATTGTGCACAGTTCATAGCACATCAATGCCAGAGCACATCTCCTGACATTCAACATAAAACTTCCCTTAGCAATCCTCTTTCATCCAATTTCTTTTAAAATCTTCATTCTAACCTCACCTTAATCTAACCAATTTGAACAGAAAAACAAATCTCTATCTATCTTTCACCCCAGTGCTCTTTTCAATTTTCTCCTCTCTGCATCTGGCATTTCCCACCATAGCCGAGCTTCACTAGAGGTTTTAGATGCCTTTCTCTCTTTGAACTCTACAGCAGCTGGTCCCTGGTGACTCGTTTAAAGATCACCCATTGAAGTAAATGCCCATAGCATGTTGATTTCCTGTGCAATCAGCCAAGTGCTTGGCTTATATAAACAAAACACGGAAATGAAACGTAAAACAGTCTTAGCACAACACCTCTAGGAAGATCGCTGTCTCTACAAAAGCCAGAGGCATTTAGCAGTGATGCATTTTTATCCTTCATGTATCACATCAACACTTAGGGTGTGTCCTGCCTGAAAATGACCCCATCARCTCTTAAAAACATCAATGGAAAAGAAGGCTGAGAAGCCCTTACCAGAACAGGGCCCAAGAATAGCAATACTTAGCTGGTAGATGTCACAAGGTACATGGCTCTTCATAACTGCCTGCAGGGAAAACAGGTATCACACACTGTTCTCACATTGTCTCATCAGCTGTCCTGAAGAGGAAGAGAAAGAATGGCAATTTACAACTGTAAAGTCACTTTGTGAAACTTGGACAAAAGATACACTCATACGTACCCATTGTACAGCAGATTTTTCACACATGACACTTCTGTGTTCCCTGCCACCCACAACTCCTGTTTTTGCTGTTTTTGCAGGAAGAAAGTCCCGACCTGCAGATCCCTCCTTTACTGCCACGCAGAAAGCAGCATCTGTCTCTGGGTGGCAGTGACACTAAGAGAGCCAGACTTCTCAAAACCAGTGACAGACTGCAAATGCCAGATTTCTTCCTGAGCTCTGAATAATTCCACTCAGATTGTAACCTTTATTTAGCTGTTTGCGTGATGCATTAGCTCTTACTCTACAAATGACCTCACCAGGCATTTTTTTTTCAGTCCAAGCATATTTAAAGGTGAATTCTGTTTTTAAACATGGACAGCTTACATTGCCAGACATAGTCTGTGGCACAGCAGACATGTACATTTAAATGGAACAAGAAAATGCATCTAAAGGATAAACAAACAAGCCTTCCATCAATTTGGATATAAGTTTACATTTCTTTCTATATTTTCCCAAAACAAGTCTTAGCTGGATGGATTTTTTTTCAACTTCATTTCATTGTTGTGCTCCATTTACAAAAACATTGGCTTAAAAAGTAGGCATAGAATGTTTTTTTTTTTTAAAAAAAAAAAGATTTAGCAGAGATTCTAGATGCCTCAATTTCTACATATGCAATGTAAGTCTAAAAGGGGTTGCTTTTCACAGAGCAAGCCAGTGAAATAATACAATATGGGAACAGACTCACCCAATTACTTCTTATTCTGGCTGTATAGGTATCCATTAAGAAACTCCATGAGATCTKATCCGATGCTTTGAAATGTATAATCAGGTTTGTCATTTTATTGATGGTTGCATGTTTTCTAAGCATGCCAGTTTATTATGGTACGTTGTGTCAGCTGCAGAATCAGCAGGGCTTCCACTTCTGCAGAATGTCTTTCTAATGTGGTAGTCCTCTTTATGAAAATTCTTGCCAGTTTTAAATCTACCAACTATAGGATCTTACTCATAGTTCTCACAAATCTTCACAGAAGCGCAAGCACCAAGGGCCAATAGCTGTGACAGGCTTTTTATTTTAATGTCAAGAGGGACCATTATGACAATGTATCTTGATCGTACATGTAACAGAAACCAAAGAAATTCAGACAATCATTTCTAATGGAAGACATAGCTTCTGCTGGATGTATMTCAAATATTTTATACAACTAACTAATATTGACTATGTAACCAGATATGATGGAAAATCCATCACACCATTAGAAAAGCTGTTCCAATAGTTAATTCACCTCATTCTTAAAACTTGCTCTAGATTTGTAATCACCATGTGCCAGCTTTAGCTTTCCCACCTCATCAGACTGTTCCAACACACAAGTAAATAGCCAGTGAAGTGATTTCCTAAAAATGTTATTGTGAAAGTCACAAATCAATGCATTTCATTAGAGGCCTACAGTATGATCTAATAAACTGGCTGACAGCCCAAATTCCTGGTTCTGTTCTTGGCTCTGACGCGTAATTTTCCTCTCCCATTGGCCAAGTCATTAGTGGCGCATTTACACTGCAGGCAAAGCGGTGGCAGTAATGGGGAGTAAACATTCAATGCTTGTTTTAATTGGGTGTTGCTAGCAAATTCGCTTCAGCAATATGAAGCACAGCATAGGATGCAAACCTCAATCCAGGAACACGGTGAATTAGTCTAAGCTGAATTCCAGCATTGCCATGGCTAGCCTAGAAGATCAAAAACAGCTTTTGGTTCCCTACACTATGAAGTTGTGTCTCCATAATCATTCCCACAGACACAAATCTACAGCACAGCTGATCCTTGTTGATGTTGGAATGGCCATAAAGCCAGTGAAAGAGACATTGTGTTTTGCTAGTAACAAATCTTGAGGCTATAGAATTAATACGTGCACAGAATACATTACATATGCAGATAATCTTAAGAGTCAAAGTAGCATTTAGTATTAATTTCAAAGGAAAAAAAAAGAGAAACTACACAGCTGAAACACAGTGCATTCTGATTTCACATATGAAAATGAGTAAGTCAAGTTAGGTCAAAGCAATTTTTGATTTGTCTTTTCCTCCACTCCATTGTGGTGGATCACAGTAAATAGAGATGGAAGAGACCTTCAAAGATGATCTAGTCAGTCTGTGTGCATCAGCACAATTTAAGTACCTTCTAGCCTCCTCTTAAAATTCTCTGAGACAAATGCTAGCAGACTCTGAAATTGGTATATTCCCTTGTAACATCTTGACTTCAACCAGGTTACATTACCCAACAGAAAAAGGTCACCTCTTTACTCTACCTCAGGTCTTCATCCCCAGTCTGAGTAATTTACTCTCCTGGTCATCAGCTTGAGGTCACTGGAACTACACAGTTTATTGAAGCTATACTCACACGCTGGTGTTGTAGGAACCAATGCTTCAAAGAAGAGTCTAAGTTAGCAGGAGAGCTTTGGAAATCAAAAAGAGTGAGTAAGACAGAGTTAGCTTTTTTTGAGGTGAGGCGTGGGAGGTGTTTTCGTTCATAAGCTATTAAAAACTCTTTGCTTTGGCATTCTAGAAGAAAAAAAAAGAAAGAGACAAATGGTAGGGGAAGGATTCATGTATAAGAAGGCAACATGATAAGAGGTACAGCCACCAAAATGTCCAAAAGGCACAGGAGACTTTCTCAGGCTGGTTTCACTGATGGAGTAGAGATAGTAATGAGTACAGGTCAGAGAAGCCAAGCTCTAATATGATGGTCCAAAGAGAAAAACAAAGTCAGCTTTCTTCACAGCACCGAGCAGAGGTTAGATTACAGTGGTGCTCTGAAAACAACAGTGCTAAGTATTATAACTGCACATTTTATCTTTCCAGATATCCAGTAACTACCAAGGATTAGGCTCTAGGGCATCCCTCTTTCACACTTTGAGGAGGATTGCAGATTCTCCATCCTTCACCTTGCAACATGTTGAAGTCACCTCATCATGGCCGCTCCTGCACAACAGCAGGTACACCCTGAGGCCGGTGTCCCAGCCCACCTCCAACCATCTGTGACCTTACGTGTCACACAAAGAGAGTGTCAGGCCCCGGGGAAGGTGCCAAGGATTTTGGACACCTGCCCCATGCCCACATGGGGAAGGGGCTCCCTGCCTCACATCTTCACAGACCACGAGGCCACAGGAGGATTCCCCCCTCCTCAAAGCTCCCCACTCCAGGGGATGGCTTGCTGTCCAGCTGTCCAGGATCCGTTTCTTCTTGCCGGAAGAGCTGGAGTGAATCTGCACCCCGCTCGGAATGGGGCTGCGGAGGCAGCACAGCCAGCGCACGCGGAGGCTTTTCCAGATGCCCTGGGGGAAGGGAGCGGCCTGGGCTGCTGGAAACGGAAACAAGAACTATTTTGGACACGGACGACGCAGAAGCTGGGCGTCTTCCTTTTATTTTCTCTCCTCCCAGAGCATTTCTCTGTCTCTCTCTCTGTTTACCGCCCTGTTCCCACATTTCTGGTTGCCAGGGCAACCCTGGCTCCACACATGCTGCACGTGTTTCCGTCCCCGGCCCGGCTGCGGAGGCTGGGGCTGAGCGTGCAACAGGGCCGGATGGGTCTGCAAGACGGAGGGCAGAGCAGCATCGTGCCAGCGTGTTCACCGAGCTGCTTCCTCCCTCCCCGCCCACTGCTTCCTGCCCCAGATGGGAACAACCTCCCCTCTAAGGCCGGCAGAGCTCAGAGGGATGGAGGAGACCAGTGCTAGGAACAGACATGAGCGCAGGGCAGAGATGGCATGAGGGAACCCTCATCGTTTGGCCCCATCCAGCTCGTGCCTGGTTGGGCATCTCCATGAGGTCCAGATTGCTCCAGTCATTGCTCCATGCTGGAACATACGAGGCCTGAAAATAGATCCCCTCACACTCCGAACACGTGTGCTTCCCATCCTGCCCTTGTGATGGATTTTTCCGGAATGGCACCTCACTGAAATCCTGCTGCCTCCAACCCGCTGCATGGCGCTTGGCCACAGCGAGCTCCCAGGCAGGAGAGACCACGGCCAACGCGACCGGCCAGCTGCAACTCATTGCATTTCGCACTTGCATGTTACAGCCCAGGCATGAATTATTGAAGTGTAGGCGATTATTTCCACCAGGGTCACAGCTAAGATGAATTAACAGACGTCCTTCTTTCTCGGCCCTCATATTTCTTCCGAACAGGCATAATTATGCAAAGACTCATTATTTAGCCAAATTTGCAGGAGGAGGATCTTGTCATAAATGGCAAAAGGCATCTTCCTCAAATACATACACAAAAATCCACATTTTTTTAAAAAAAATGATTTATTTTACACCAAGACAGTGCTAAGAGGATTCTTTTTGAGAAAAAGGGGATCTTTCAAAAAAGAAAAAATGTCATCAAGACTTTTTTTCATGTGGATATAACAAAATATTCCCTTGCCAGCCTTGTTCTGAGAAACAGCTAAGTGGTTTTGAATTAAATTAAAAACAAAACCAAAAAGAATAACTCATTAAAACAGTTGAAACAGACATGAGCTAGAAGACATTGGCTGTACATCTGGCAAAGCCTAAAGCAAGCAAAGCCAAACCTTGTGATGGGATGTGTCGAGTAACTTCTAATGAAGAAGCAATACTACTAGTAATGTCTTACACACTCTGCACACCCATTAACATATTAATCTCAACATTAGTCCTTCCCAGCTAGCCAAGGATTATAATTGCCAAACTTTACAGCTAAGTATTAAAAAGCTTGGATAAACAGCTTGGTTAAGCAAGAATTATTTGCCGTCACCTGAACAGGGTAAGTATGAGAGGAGAGCATTTGGCTAGTACGCTACTACCAAGGGCAGAGTTTAGAGAAATTAGGTCAGGCAGAATGGAAAGAAAACTTCAGGAAT